AGGGGTGCTGGCACACAGGTGCTGGCGCCGCTCCCCCCCCCAGTGCTCCTGGAGCAGCCGGGAGAGTTGGGGAACACAAGCCTTCAATTTGAATGGCTTTGATTTCTGCGGCTTTGTCAGCCCCTTCATGTTAATTAAATACATTTTTGTGGGAGAAGGCTAGCTTTCATTTGCATGCATGATTTGCTGCACAATTACCCTGATGGGGCACGCAAATGGAGTAAGTCGATGCTCCATTGGGCACTTGGACCTCTTTGCTCCCAGCCACCCCGCGTAGCCCTGTGTGAGCCGGGCCGGAGCGCGGCTCCCAACGGCACACCTTTTTCCTGGGAAGGGGAAATGACAAACCTCCCCAGCGCACAAACACGCCCCGGTTTGGGCGGGCAGAGCGCCCTGCCTGCCTGCTGGCCTGGGCAGGTGGCGGGGCCAGGGGCAACGAGGGCCTCCGGGCGATGGGAGGCCACCGGCCACCTTCGGTTGGGTTTGGTGATGATGGATCCACCCGTCCCGTCCTGCTCGCTGCCTCTCGGCGCGGAGATAAAACACTTCATGCAAGCCTGACCCGTGCTATTTCTGTGCGCTAACTGAAGGAGTCAGGTGGGTTGTATTTTTAAGCCTGGGGTAAGGATGGGCTTTGAGATTTCTTCTCAGCTGGGGCTGAGCCACCAGCTGTGAGTCACGGTTACGCAGAGGGTATAATCACGGAGCAGAGAGGTTTGTAACGGGAAGGCGAGGAGGAGGCCTGCGGTGCTGCAGCGTGCCCGAGCCCCCTGCGACCGCCCGTCGGCACCACAACACGCACGTCCTCCCTTTCCCTCCCTGGCATCTGCCGCTGCCCCGGGATGTGGCCGGACTCCCCCCGTGGCTGTTTCAGCTGAAGCAATGAGGCAACTCTGCCTGCGGCCGGACATCTTTCTGGCAAACCCCGGCTTCACCGGATTTGCTTCCCGGGGAGTGCTGGGGGAGGAAGGCAGGGCAGCACTCCTTGCCACCTTTGCAAAAATAGATGCGGTGCCCCGGGTGCTGCAAGGAGCCATTAGCACGGGGTGGGAGCTCACAGCAACCTCTTTAATTTAGCCAGGGAGTTGGGGTGTGCTGCTCCGCTCCCCGCGCTGGTAAAGTTGCCTGCTG